CCCAACATTATTGCAAGTTAAGTCATGTGATGACCTCATTGATTTATTCACCGGTCCTAACCAACTTCAACATTCAACAAATGGGGTTATGAATTCGAATGCACTGACTCCAAGATTTGCAAGCATTAAGGGGAGACATTATCATATTATTAACTTGTTCATATATCATGTTGCACTTCTTCCCCTCTATGGGTTTACTCACAAGGTTCTCATCGAGCTTTTACGGCAACGCCATCTTCACAAGATTATATTTATTGTTCTCTAAACTCTCTGGGTTTTTTGTTTTTAAGGTTTTATAGCATGAGTAGTAAAGGAGACAGTCATCACTATAAGTCGTATCATATCCTCCTTATTTTTTCACTGAGTTTGGAATTTTAGCAGCATATCAAATAATATTATCCTCACATTTTACCCACAGGGTTTGTGGAGGAGTCTTTATCAAGATGTTGATTATAAGGGTGTATCGTTATGTATCATTAGTTAGGAGGGAGTTAAGAGTAATTAACATATGTTAATTAAAAAAAGAATCATCCCTATATAAGCTGTATCATGTTCTCCGTATTTTCTCATCGATTTTGAAGGAATTTTCACAACATACTCCCCCGTCCCAAAATAAGCGTCGCGGATTTAATAAAAAGTTAGTACAACTTTGCATACTAACTTTGTACTAAATCAGGAACTTTGTATACTAACTTTACACTAAATCAGTGACACTTATTTTGAGATGAAAGGAGTATTATTAAATAACATTCTCCTCACGTTTTAGCCACGAGTTCCTGGAGTAATTAACTTGTATTATTTAATATTTATAGTTAATCCATGCTTTATGACCCTTTTCAATGCTCCTCTATGTATAGGTGCTAAGAATGTCATGTAGATAAAAAAACTGGCGTGGCAAAGCAATCAAGAAAGGAGAGAAAACACTTCAAAAATCCCAAGGAAAAAAACAATGCCAAGTATGGAGACCAAGGCAAAATAACTATGCATGGAAGAGTTCGACTGCTAAACAATTAAATAAAGAAAGCTTAGAGACAATAAAATAAACCCCTATGCATTGAGGAGTTTAGTTGTTAAGCGTTGTCATGCACTTAGCACCTCATCTAATCATCTTTGTGTTGGAAAGGGTCTAAAGGAACCATCCATACAGTTCCTAGTTAGCAACTAGACGCCTCTTATAAAGCACTCCTTCAGGTTTTTTTTAACATAATACAGACGCAAACGTTTATATATATGCGCATACACTCACCCTTTCAGTGATTATATATACTAGAAGGATTCGTTGCGGTTTTGCTGCATGGTTAGTGTTGCTGGGATTTCATTAAAAAATGGTTTGATGTGTTGGGAGATGATGATGTGTGTTTTCTTTTTCTATAAAATGCGGTATTTTGATGGTCTCTTTCTAGGGTATGATTACCTGCTATCTGTAAATTAATCCACACGTACACAAGGAAATTTCATACGGTGACGACCACATGTAATATATTGATGCTACAGTCACATGTTGGCATTTTTTTGTCACGTGGTGAGGGTGCGAGATTGATGTATATTTATAAGTTGGCTGTTGTGGATTAATTCGAGAAATCATTGAACAATCAAAATTGTGAATCAAATTCAAAAATAAATCCCTCACTTGAATGAGAGAGCTCCTTGAAAAATTGTTAACCAGGTCAAAAATGGGAACTCAATCCAAAATCATATTAATGTTAAAGTGTTGCATGTTAGCATTTATTTTTGTCAGATGATGAGAGCGTGGGGCTGTTATAATACTTTTATAAGCTGACTGCTGGTGATTAATTTGAGAAATCATTGACAAGCAAATTTAAAATTAAACACCTCATTTAAATAAGAGACCTCCCTTAAAAATTACAGTGGACGGTGTTAGCAAACCATGAGTAAGCTAGCCATCATGATACTCTACCCGCCTCACGACTCACTGCCATCATGATTTTGCTTCCTGAATTCCAGATTATTTTTTTTTTGCTCAATGTAATTCTGTTTTAACATAGAAAATTACACCCCCCATAAAATTTGCATCTTCTGATTATTTTAGAGGGTACATTTAGTAAATACTCCCTCTATAAAGAAATATAAGAGCGTTTAGATCACTAAAGTAGTGATCTAAACACTAAAATTTCTTTACGGAGGGAGTACTAGTCTGCACCACAAACTCCAGCCTTAGTTTAAGGATGCCAGATTTTGTATCCACGTTAATGCTAAGCAAGCATTGGTCCATCATGCTGGTCTGATTGAACAAAAACTCAAGCCATCCAGCACCTTGAAAATTGAAGCCTACATCAGGAACGTGCTGAATATTTTCTCATCAAGTTCCCACCAAGCATCAGCATTCTTTGTGCTCATACTATTTGAATTACCATTATCGCTCTCTAAAAACTAAAATAAAACTCATCCAATATTTGCTTACAGCAACAGAAACACAGGCTTGGCTTTCGTTCTTACCTCAGTAAGTGATACAGGTGCTTTTTAAATAGTGGAACTCCCAAACAGAAAACTCTCATATTCAGAACTTTTTTTTTCTTGCTGGAGGGGATCATCTTGCATCAATTGCGAACTTCAGCCTTCCATAATCAATATATCTACAGCTACAAGATAGTTTCACACCCGGTGGGAACAGAAAAGGAAAAAAATTCTGGCACTTGCTATGAAGAGTAACTTTCAGACCAACTGTTAGAAATGATATTATTTGACTAATCCAGTAGAACTAGCCCGATGCTGCCTTCAAGCATAGCGCCTGCGCGTTGATGTCTTGATGTGATTGTGTCCACATGAGAGCCTATATTGGTCATAATAATCGAGTGTTATGAGGTAAAGTAAAACAAAACAAAATAACACAAATAATGTCTCGAGTATCATATATATGTAGGATGTCTACGCGATAATCTTGCTGGAACACAAAAGTGGAACATTTGTAGTAGAGCGGTACTGTCAGCTTAACAAGACCCCCATCAAGAACTACCTATATTATTGTAAATCACATCACAACTATTAATCGTTATTCAAGTAAAATCTGCCTTCGCTAAATTGGTGGTCTAAGTCTTGCAGGTTTCTTAACATAAGATTAAGATCCATCGGGTACATACTTCACAATGCCCGCTGAGCAGTGTACAAAGCACTACAAACTTGTCTATTGTTAGGAACAAGATATACAAGTGGCACCAAGCTGAACATTGTACATTTACCAATGTTTTTCTGTGCAATGTAATTTGCTTAAGCATGTTCAGAATTCACAAATAATTGAGCAAAATAATGCATCTCATCACTCATGATACAAACTACCATGGAGAATAGCATTCCTTTGGCAAATCTAATATTGAAATGGGTTATTGATAGTGCAATAGTTACAAAGCAGACCTGTCAGATTCCCAGTTTCCAACATCTTAAATGGAAAACCTAAATCAGTACTCTAATATGTATTCCAGTTCCATATGATATACTACTAAGGTTTTGCCGGTGCCATTGAGGTAATCATGTAACTGTGATACAAGTGTTAGCAGAGAACCAATTTGTCCCAGAATAGGTCTCCCTAGTATCTACAATGTTGTCTAGCAACTTATGCGCAAGTACATACGCGTGGGGCAAGATAGTGCGACTGCCACAACTAACCTCAGAGCCTCTAGAAGAGGAAAGAGCTTCATCATTTCACATTTTGTTTGACGCCATAAATTTGATTTTTCTCTCAGCAGGTTTGAGAATTTGAAATGAACACATCAAAGTTTCATCAACACTCATCATTGCTCCAGCATTATCAAATTCACCACAATAGTTGGGAGCCGAAAATATGGTGACCAGTTGCCTGTCAGCAAAGAATTCATACCCATCCTCGACAACCTATATCAGATGAAATACATAAACACCTTAATTTCCAAGAAAGTAATAAACAAGATGATGTATTAGAGATTTAGATTTTATAGTACCTGGTGGGCACGGCAAATAAGATCAAGATCATGCTTTAGAAGGAACTCCGTAACTTTGTCATGGCCAAATGTGTATGAAACGCCCCTATCATTCATGCCCCACCCTTGGACATCTTTTCCTGGATCAGACCAAAGAAGATCGCATAGTAGACCTGTATCTGGCACATCGGTAGGACGGGGCAAGTTTTTTATCTCATCTAGGTGTCCCAGATCAGGAGAAAGGCCACCATGCATGCATAATATTTTATCATCGATTAGAGCGGCCACAGGGAGACAATTAAAACAGTCGGTGAAGACCTTCCATAGCCGCACATTGAAGCGACGCTTGCATTCATCATAAAATCCATATATTCTGTTTATTGAAGCACACTCATGGTTGCCTCTCAGAAGAAAAAAGTTCTCGGGGTACTTGATTTTGTATGCAAGGAGGAGGCATATAGTCTCCAGACTCTGTTTGCCTCGATCAACATAATCGCCTAAGAATAGATAGTTGGCTTCTGGGGGAAAACCTCCATACTCAAATAGCCTTAAAAGATCACTGTACTGACCATGGATATCACCTAGAGGCAGATAACAAGGGAGAGCAAAATTAGTTGCTACTATGGTAACTACAGAATTAAGAGGCATACACGAAGTAGAAAGGAATTTATCAGGCCTTACTATGACAAGCAAAAAAAAACACGTCTCCAAGTACAGTTCTATCAGACAGAGGAATGCCAATAATAGCCGAGGATAAAAAACAAAAACTCAATCAAAGCAGACAACAGACAGTCCAGTCTACTTTAGCAACTAGTGTTTTGAATGAACAAATGCTTGTTAGGCTGTTGCTGCAAATACTACCACACAGTTTTGAAAACCCCTAGGAATCATGTGCCTTCAAAAGGCGCTTAGGTAGAGGTTAACACATAGAGCACCAAAAAGTTGCTGCTTGCTTCCTAGTTACAAGAAGGTAATCTTGTTCAGAGAGGGGCTTTCATTTGCAAAGAGGTGAGCTGATGACGCTCTGATATACTAAACTAAGGTACATACATGCACGCAAGCTTAAGTTTCTTATGTGCCATTAAGCTGGTCACTAAAGGAGCTTGCTAGAATATTACAGGGAACACACATGCACATCACAGGGTTCTGAATTAGTGATTGGGATTTGGTTCTAAATTCTCAGCATAGAGAAAACGAGGAGGGGGTCTGGAATCAAGCCTAGAACCTTGAGGGCATATTCAAATTTCAACTGAGACTGAGCAAGCGGCATCTTTATGATAAAAATCAGCATCACTGACAAAAAGAGCAGTTCAAATAGACTACTTTGAATGCCTAAATAGACGAGATAAGATTCCATGTCAGCAAATATCTGCCACGATATACATTGTTGTATATTTTCATCCAACGGAATGTCAGCTACTGCAGCACCCAAGGAATTTTGAAAAACAAATGTATGTATAACAACAATTATTACTAACAGCAAATATCATGTTGCCCTTAAGATGATAATTTCAAGAGCTGGTTGCACAAGAAAACTTTGTCAACCCAAATTAACACTAAGTGCCTTTGATGATTGCATCTTTGCTGTGGGGCCTCCTCCCCTTCAAACACCTCATCAAATGCTTTCAAGGTTCTAAACATACAGCAAAAAGTTGAGCAGAAAATCAATATGACAATGTCCTAACCTCCACCATCTAACAGAAACAGAAGCACGAAGCACTAAACGAGAGGAGCCTGGTTAATGCCACAAATGATTGTTTTTGCTTATCGCCGCGACGCAGATATGGGAGTCGGCAGCACCTGCGGCGCGACCAAACTAGATCTAACTGTGCGAAGGAAGAGTCAAAGCGGGCAGGAGAGGAGTGGGACGCACGCACCGCAGATTTTAATGGGCGCCTCGAGCTCGAGGAGGTTGGGCTGGGTGAGGAAGATGTCGCGGGAGGCGGTGCAGAGTTGGCGGATCTCCGACTCGGAGAGCTGCACCTGCTTGCCGGGGCGCGCCGTCCGCACCTCGAGCAGACGGCGGATGATGTCGTCGAGGAGCGCGGCGTCCATGCCGCCTCCCTGCCCTCCCGCCGCCGGCGCCGCCGCCATCGCCTCCCCCGGGGTGGAGAGAGATCGGTGGAGTTAGGGTTTCGGCGCTTCGGGAGGAGCAGGTGGCCGAGGAGGGGGAGGAGAGAGATTGAGTGGTGGGCCGCCGATGGCTAGATAAACTCGCCCCGTCGACTAGGTTTTGTTTTGTTTTGTTTTTGCTTGGTTATAAAACCTCTCTCCTTTTTTTCTATTTCTATTTCTATTTCTATATATAATCTGCGCGGACAGCGCTTGTGGAGGAATTGTGGCGTTGCGCCGTGGCCTGGTTGGTCTGCAACACCAATGTGCCGACACGCCGAGACGTACGTGCCCGCTCTCCTACGGACTATGCTCACCCTAGAAGAAAATATTTGCCATCGCAGAGTGACAACCAATCCTTTTGCTTTATTCTACTCCCTCCGTGCACAAGTAAATACGCACGTGCAACGCACATTAAATATTTAGGCAATAAATTAATTGCGCGCGGGTTTTAGATATGCTATTATTTGTGTGTTAATCCTGTAACTAGCTAAGTGTCCGTGCGTTGCCACGGATTAACAAATATATATATATAAAGAGAAAATTCATGTGACATGAGAGTTAAAGGTCATTTCTATGGGATGATATCTCATGGTCATGATCTAGTAGATACATACATCTCGTCATTGTCTTTCTTCCACACTCCATGTCTGAGCTACCACGCGACATTCGACTTCCTTCTCCCACCATGCATGCTTTTATCTCCTATTTCTCCTACCTTTACCTTACACGACAGTACCAAGTTTCTTGTCCAACTATCATAATCTTCTCCGGTAGGGCACCCCCTTAGATTATTACTAACTTGTACATGTTGCAAATAAGATCAACGAAAATGGATACTAAATTTCTGATGAGAAATGAGAATTCAGGGCAATATCTTCCCAAGACAATAATAATTCCAAGACAATCTTTTTATACCTTCTGTCAACATTGGGACACACATTCCACATAATAAGCATGCAATGATGTTGATACTTGATTAATTGTCATTATATGTCTACAGTGAAGATAACTTTACTCAAAACCGCCTATCTTAGCCAAATCAACAAATCTCTCTCATTAATGCAATTTTATTTAGAAAACAAATAATAGATTCTTTCCTATCTTAGCCAAATCAACGGATCTCTTTCATTAATGCAATTTGCTTTAGCAAACAAATAATAGATTCTTTCCTACCTTAGCCAAATCAACGGATCTCTCCCATTAATGCAATTTGCTTTAGCAAACAAATAATAGATTCTTTCCTACCTTAGCCAAATCAATGGATCTCTCCCCGGTTCGCTGGGCGCGTTTCGGTGGGTGGGCGTGGGGGTGGGGGTAATTTGATGGAAATAAACCGGTTGAAAATAAACCGGTTGAAAATAAACGGATCCTGTCTCACTCTTCACTTTCTTTATAATAAACTTCAGAATAGCAATCTTGGCGAGTGATCTCGACGGGGTTCAATCGGCGTGGCGCACCGCTGATTCTTCCAGGAGTGGGTGCTGAGAGGAAGGATCCCAAACCTCCATTGTCAATCGGCCAGAGCTGCATCGTCCTTTGGATCAGAGCGTGGACGGGATCAAGACGGTAGGGTTTGAGGAATTTGTAGGACATGAGGGTTTATGGTTGGCAGCACGAGAACTCACCCATATCTTGGCAGACGGCAGGCCCGAGGTGCGGTCGTGTTCATGCTTCGGGAGCTGCCACATGCTGTCCTCGCCGCCATCAGCGACACCACCGCCATCGCCTGTTGCCACCACTTCAGCGCCACGAGCGTGGGACCGAGGGACGAAGGGAAGGGAAGGAAGTGAATTAACGTACCTATGTTTGGTATATATCACACGAGGAATCAAAACTGGATGCACGTGAAAGCATAGAGATGGGAGAGGAGGACAGAGGAAGGGAAGGGCAAGAGGAACCTGAGGATGTGCGATGAAGGAGCGATGCCAAAACATCACAAAGGGGGACCCGTAGCTCGTCACGTAGCGCGGCCGCCTCATTGCCGGCTGCCACCCCGCGCTACCGCCTCCGTGCGCAGGTTCCGTTCGTGGAGCGTGAGGAGCGCATGACCTGCCTTCACCGCGGCCTAGTCCTCCCCACTATCGTGAAGCTCGCCCGCATCGCCGCCCCAATTGCTCAGGATGACGGATGAAGATCCTGCAACAGCGACGTGGGCGAGGGATGCAGCCGACGATGGAGGGATGATTTTCGTGGCTAAACCCTCCCTATCAAAATAACTACTTAAAAAAGGCAAAGATCGATGCATTAGAAAAATTAGGATTTGGAATTGATTGTCATAAAACAAAATTTTATTAATTGATAACGTGTTATCGATACATGCCCGTTTATAACGTGTCTAGTTAGGAAACTTTGGTAAAGTTAGGAAAGTTTTTATTGTGAGGGTAAAAAAATCAATGTGAGGAGATATGGTGGTGGGATATGAGACAAAAATAAACCGGACGAAAATAAACCAGACGAAATATAACCAGACGAAAATAAACCGTGGACGCAATCCTACCAACTGCTCCATTAGGAGTAGAGATTAGTGTAATATATTTGGTATGATATTAATTGCACGTTAAACACGTTTAACGCTCGCCATTGGAGCGGTCTAGGTCATTGGATTAACTTAGTTCAATGGCTGAGATCAGTTGGATCTGCCTCTTTGGGTCCTTTTATATTGGTATAGATACGGAGCAAAATGCGTAAGTCTACACTTTAAACTATGTCTATCTGCATTCGTATGTAAATCCTTATTAAAAAATTTAAAAAGACTTATATTTAGAAATAAAGAGAGTATATTGACAAAGGCCTCCCGGCTCTCCAATCCAAAAAACAAGTACATCACTCAAAAATGCAGGCATTTACAAAGATATAAGAGATTCAATATTTCTTTTGAGAACTATACATGCTCATTACTCCTATAAAAATGATGGAATACCCGTCTCTTGGCGGCTTCGCCGCGCGAGAGTTCACTATGTGTCGTCTGTTTCACGAGGGCCTCTTGTGGCTGGCTCCCTAGCGGCCTCTCATTTGTCTGATATTCAGTAAGATATTCTCTGTAAGTACTAAAAATAACGGCGACAGATAGGTTGATAACAAGATATTTCCTCCATTCATTTATATATAAAGTGTATTTGTTTTTTGATAAAATTCCACGATATAAGGTGCATTTCTTCTAATTCCTTGTAATTTCTTTTTTAGCCCTTCAAAAAATAGAAAAATATCTCTCTCCCGATTGTATGTATCTCTCTTTCTAGAAAAAAAAGGAAATATCTTTCCCTTGATAGCATATATCCTTTTTCTTTCCTAGTCTAACTGATTTACTTCCCACTAACCAACAAATTTACCAAGGGTAATTTTGTCCTAAATTATCTATAATTTGTTGCCTTGCTCACCGTTCCCAAAACAATACACCTTTACATAAATAGCAATAGTAACAAAGGTTCAATAAGGTGCATATAGCTAACACCACGAGAAGAGGTGCATATAGCTAACCTTACTCTGTATGTATATTATAGATGATAATATGAACGGTCTATTTATATTCTTGTTTAATCAGAATATAGGAGAAATGGATATGGACTTCGGAGATGCACGGAAAGAATCCATGGAGGTTTCAGATGCAATGTCGCTGGAAGGGGCCGGACATTCACAACATAATAACGTCGAAGAGGTTATATCTCATAACAAACCAAAAAAGGATGCTAAATTGCATATTATCCCACAAGGTATATGTTTATATTATTATCTATCTTATTTTTGTGATCTTGCCTTTTGTATTCAACTAATTTAGTTATTTTTTTGTGTTACTAAGTTGTCTCACTTTTTATGAATTTGACAGACTATGTTTGTACCCCTAGAGATATTACAGTCATCGAATCAATAAAGTCTGCCCCCAAGAATACCCTGTTCGTGGACATTGAAGATGTCTTGTTAGCAACCGACGATTTGAAATGCCTTATAAAAAATGATATGTTCTTACATGACGGTGTAAGACCAATTGCACAAACTTTGTAATCAATAATATGATCAATATATAATATCATAAAATATTAATATATTCTAAATGTTGTTTACAGGTGATAAATGCTTACATATATTGCATGCTTGATCACGACCATCTACAAGACAGAGCGGGTGAAAAGGTACACATTATTAGCACGTTTGTATCTGGTCAGATAAAAGAAGACGGTGAAAGAGACATCGACCCATCAAAATATCGCCGCATCGTGCGTCATGTTAATACTTATATACAACAAGATATGGTTAGTTTTTGTCTTATGGAATGTTTTTTAGTTCATATGTGTGATGATATATTAATAATTATATCTAATTTTGATTGTGATTTGTATGATATTTACACCAGTTATTCATTCCGATTAACATGCCGGGCTACCATTGGTATCTAGCAGTTGCCAATGCCAAAAAAGAGAGATCCAAGTATTGGACTCACTTGGTGAGAATGTCAAACGCAATGACCTTGCTACTACGGTAACTATATTTTTTTTACTCATCTTAACATTTGTTTTGTTTGACTTCATCCCTAACATTTCTCATATGATAGTTACGGGGGCTCGAGAAATGGCTGAAACTTGCAGAGCAGAGTCCGGAGTTTATCAGAGGTGATAAGTGGCCCGATCTCAATGTTACAAAATGGACGGTTGAAGAGCAAGTTCAGGAGGCAATACAAACCGATGGGTAAGCAATTGTTAAAATGGTTTGTTTATTTGATTCATCTGTGTGATATTCTAAAGCATTATTTTATAATATTATAGCGTATCATGTGGATTGTTTATGCTAAATTATATGGAATATTGGACATCACATGGACTGTCAGACCAGTTCACCCAGGTATTTCATTTTTATACATTATCTCGTTATTTTATATGAAAATATTATATATATTTTTTGTATAAAATTTTTGTAGGAGGATATGAAATATTTTCGTCAAAAATTAGCAGTCATTTTGCTCGATTCAGAGCTTAATAAGCTAAAAG